AATGCTATCTATTATTATTATTATTATTATTACATATTACAAAATCAATTTGGTCAGATCATTGCAGTCAGAGTCAACCTTTTATGTTAAAAGCTAGCTTGGTACCCTGTTCGGTGAACGGACTCAAAAGAATCGATAGTCAAGTCAGTGTGGAGTTACAGCAAAGATAGTACATAACAAGATGGTCCACTCAGCCAAAAAGTGTCCGCCGGAAGTCAGCTCTTTGCTTCAGGTGGCGCTGCAGTCTGTTTTGAAGCTCTCTTTCGTTTTTCCAGAAGAAGAACAGAAATAGCACCTCCTTGTGTGAGCAGGTCGACTGCAGATCAGCTGTTCGGGGTCGTTTAGTGCTGAGTTTTGTTTTAGTTTTTTTTTAAATTTTAATGACCTCTCGCCTTTCATTCTAAATCTAAAGTCAAATTAAACAAAGAAAACAGTCAGCGCAACTATTTTTAAAAAGCGTTCTTCCGAAATGTGAATTCTTATTTATTTTAAAAAACTTGTTAGTTTCACTTTGATTTTTTAAACACAAGTAGGGTATCTCTGTTTTCACCAAAAGATTCTTTAAAATATTCTCCAGACCTTGACACCCTTCGGTTTTTTTTCAGTTTTGAGACAGTTTTGCTGCAAAAAGCAAAATTTCTTTATTTCGCCGATCGCTTTTGTAGGCCTACGCTTCTGTCCCTCTAATCTTATAAAAGGAGGTTTCCGTTCACTAACTGTGCACACTGTTTGAGAGTATAGATCTAAACTTTCTCATTTTTACATTTCTCAAGAGTTATTGCTCCATTCCCGTAGAATGTAGATATCGTAAGCCAATGACTTTCGGCTGACGTTAATGCACCGATCTTTCCTTTCATCGAATGGGCCAGCTAGTCTTTTTATATAGACGTAACAATCGGACAAGACTTTCGAAAACGCTCTCGTGACTCTCTTTGCACAACGCCAGTCTTCGTATTTTAAGCACCCAGATAATGGAAAAATAACTAGTTAATTTAATTGTTGTTTAATATCACTAAGAAGAGACAAGGACGGTTTGAATTGGCCAGACATTGTTATAAAAGATCGTAACATCAAGTCTTAAAGAAATAATTAATTGTAAAGAATCTTTGCTACTTCTACTACTACTACTACTACTACTACTACTATCACTACTACTACTACTACTACTACTACTACTACTACTACTACTACTACTACTACTG